ATTGCCTCCAAGATTCTGGTGGCTCGGCGTCCGGGTTGATCACCTCGTTGTACATGTCCGTCAACACGTCCAGCACCACGTCGCCAGCATCGAGAAACATTTCGGCCACTACACCAGCGCTGTCAGCACACCGGTTGCGCTTGAGCTGCTTGATCGCCTTCAACACTTCCTCACGGGTGAAAGCATCCACCTTGCAATGCGGATGTTGCGCAGTAAGTGGGGCAATAGGCTCAACATGACGATGTGTACTGTATAGGTCTTCGTAGAAAGCAGCAAAAACATCAGCTATATCCCTCCTGCTCGTCACCTGCTCGTTCTTCTCCAACATGCACGTCAGCAGCGTTTTCCGCACCTGGGTCTTGATACGCGGGATCCTCTCGAGGCCAGAAAACTCGTTGAGAACTCGTTCGATTCGAAAGGTCGCCTCTTTTTTGCGGAGCTGTTTGATTCCTTTCTGGATTGCTTTACTCAGTGTTGCGCGCATGGACGTGTCCCCGCTTTCTAAAGAACGTCTCTGCTGGATAAATTCCGCAATGTTGCTACGCAGTTCTATACATGAAGGCTCATATGTGCTGCTGGTGTGCTTCACATTCTCGGCGGCGGCTTCGAGGAATACGAGCTCAAGCTGTTGAGAGCGAGTCGACGCGTCTGTGTCCAACTGCGTCTCCCCAAGCTTCTTTTTAAGAGTAGAAGAATAGCCATCACGATCCACCAATTCCCACGGTACTCTCTGGGACTGGTGCTTCGACTTGGCGCTAATGCTGTTCAGGACGGGCTTGAAAAGTAAGTGCACTGCTTTGTGGTCGGATCCCAAATCAATGTCAGAGATGCTCCCAGAGTCGCAGACCTGCTTCCAGACTTGCCGGTCCACCAATATATAATCAATTTGCCTGGGCCTCTTGCTACTGCCTGTATGGGTTTCTCTCTTCCATGGCGGTTTTGAGAAAAACGCGTTCGTTATCGCAAGGTTCTTCAAGGAGGCCCACTGTTTCAGCCACTGTCCTCGCGCATTTTCCTGGTTCAGTCCGTGCTTCCCGATCACTTTGTCGCTGTCGGAGTCCAGGCGGCCCCCAACCTCAGCAATATAAATCTGAGGCGCTTGCGTCTGGCATCTTCCCGCAGGCGCGACAACATGCTATACATGGTCTGGACGTGGTCGTCGCCGTAACCGGTGTGAGGAAAATAACTTGCAACAAATCGATAAGAATTGCCATGCAAAACCATATCGATGTGCGTCAAACGTTCGGAAACAGCAACAAATTTGCGAATTGCGCCAGCCCATCGCTTGTGTATCAAAATCGCAACCCCCCGGCTATTGCAATCATGTCCCGATCCGGCGAAAAGGTGGCCCTCGGAGGTCGCGAAAAGGAGACCCTCGGTTTCGCTCAGCATTACAATGTCCCAAAGTATGTCACGCAATTCCAAAAGTAATTCAGAAAATCTGTCCTCATTCGTCAGACCACGCACGCTTTTATGATACATGTGAAACTTCGGTACGGCAACTGGTATTCCAAGCGTTGTCAGTTGGACTTCGCTCTCTGTCGCATCGCCCGTCCTGTTCGTCACCGCCTGCTCCTTCAAGGAAGGGGCCGGGATATGAACACGAGGGAAATCTCCAGAAACATGGAAATATTTTCCTCTCCCACCCCCCGTTGATTTGGAAAACTGTTGAATTTCATGAAGCCGTTCTCGTACAAGTAGATGTCCTCCTTCCTCTCCGTCTCCTCCCCTGCTCTCTGGTCCTTGCTTCATGGTGTCGAGCGGTCACTCGCTCTCGGTGTCCGGGTCGCGTGATTTCTTCTTCCACCATTTCTGCATAGATGCATCCACGTCTGCCTGTACTGTCTTGGCAGATGCCGAGGTGCACAACTCCCATTGCTCGTTGTACCACGCCACCTTGTTCTCCTTCCCCGCAGTGTCCCCGGGAATAAATCGTAAGGAAGTATCAGGCGGGAACCGCTGTTGTTGTAAACCCGGAGTCAAGGGCACAATTTGAGCCCTGTGACTTTCCCTGATAAAAAAAATGAGGGCCCCGGGGGAAGCACTTCAACTGAAAAAACACAATGGTCACCAGAGGGGGGGGATCAACAGTACTTATTCTTCAGTAGTGAGAGTTCAACAACAACAACAGCAACAACACCAGCAACAACAACCAGAACAACAAAGATACACAGCGTTTCCTTGAACCGATGGCGCCAAGCGCAGTGCACGCGTCGTCGTCGTCGCCCCGCAGTCGCCTCCCTCCCCGAACCCCCCTCTGTCTCTCCCAGGAACCAAGAACCAAGCGTGCACAGCGCTTGGCGGCCCTCAGTTCAAGGAAACGCTGTATATTTACGTTGTTTGTGTTGTTGGTCTTGGAAACAAGGAAACATGGTGCATGTTTTTGGTATTTCATGGTTTTGCACGCTTAGGGAGGAGTGGTGTGAGGGAGGCAAACATACAAAGTGTTTCCTTGACGTCCCAGACAAACAAAAACAAAGCAAGCGCAAATACACAGCGTTTCCTTACACCGAGGGCGCCAAACGCTGTCCGGCATTGGTTTACTACTACAAAGAAGAGGAGGAGGAGGAGGAGGAGCAGCAGGAGGAGGAGGACGATGACGAGCATGAAAAGATAAGAATATGAGGATGAGGAGAGGAGGGAGATGAGGAGGATGAAGACGATGAGGATGCCCCTCCCCGGTTCGTCGACTGGGGGTGCTCGGTGAGGCTGGGCATATATATATATATATATATACAAGACTGCATTGGCGCTGCGCGCCATGCACTTTGGTCCTTCAAGCCTTGCATGTGGTGGCACTTGGCGCGATCCTCGGTTGCTCCTGAACTTCGGCCGCTTCGCGCCCAGTCCCCCCAGCCGTTCCTTACTCGCTTGCGCCCTCGCTTTGCAGGTCCGCGCACCACTCGGACGAGTATGCCGGGGTGTGGAAAGACAGCCAGCATGCGGGCGATGTTCCGAATCACGGAAACTATAGGAAATGTACAGAATCCCCAAGAAGTGTACCGAATCCCAGGTTCACAACCGATTTTCTGGGAATTGGGTTGCGAACCTGGGATTTGAAGCATTTGGGTGTTTTGCGTAGCCGCTGTTCGGAAAGACGGCGTGTGAGGTGCCCTCCAGCCTGTTCCGGGGGGCCCTCGGAGCTTTTTTTGATGTTCTGGAACTGTATTGGGCTAGGTACACGGTGCTTGTGTTCGCTGGTTGGCGCTGAGCGGTGGGCAAATATTACCGAATACAATATAGTAGCCCTGATCCTGCCGTCTCATTTTTTACGCGCCAGGCGTCTTCGCCCACTTCCGGTCCCCGGGACCAGCATTACAGGTCGATCCAGCTCGAGAAATGCCGCAAACAATGGGGGACCAGGGGACCAGGGCTCTGGGCGAGCTCTTTGACGATGTTGCAATTTTCTCGCAGCGTCGGATCTCGGGGAAGTCGCGTCTTACGGCCCTGTTGGAGCACTCCCGGCGCTCTTGAGGCCAGCTTCTCGGGCCCCTCCTGGGTCCCACTGGGGTAATGCCAAGGGGGGTCACCACTTGGAGGGTCGCCACTGCCCCGAGGAGGCGCCACTTCCTCCAGGAGTGGGGCCCCCGAGAACACTCCAGAGCCTTCCAAAACGAACCCAAACATCTAAAAAACCTCATTGCGCTTCGATCCTGAACCTCGGTTCTAGAGGCCTCCTGGATGGGGTCAGATACATCGGCGATACATCGCCGACATCCGTGGAGTTGAACATCGGGCTCCACATCGAGCCGCATCGCCAGTGCATTGACGATCCGGCGCCATCCTCCGACCCCATCTACTCCGACCCTACGTAGGAGGCCTAGAGTTTCCCAGGACAGCGCTGCCCGACACACCTGGGCCCTCCCAAGGCCGCGGCAGACGGCGGCGCCGGCCTGGCCGCCGCTCGAGGCAGCGCGCGTCGCGCTCCCGGGGCTCGTGAGCGGCACGCAACGGCGGCGGCGTCAGCCCAGCCGTTGCTCCAGGCAGCACACTGGAGTGCAGGGGCCAAGGGACACACAAATGAATACACACAAATCTTGGCGGCGCACACAAGGGGGTAGGGGGAGGGGGGAAGGCTTCTTAGAAGTACCCTGCTTCTTAGAAGGCCCCAGCCTTACGTCTATAGAGAAGGCCAGCGCCTTCTAAGAAGCAGGGGTAAGAAGCTTTCCCCCCTTCCCCGACCCCCCGCTGCGCATGGCCGAAAATCACAGGGTTCCCGATGCTTTCCATATGTTCTCCATCTCCACTTCCCTTCCACTTCCCATATTTTCCTGTTTTTTTTTTGGGGGGGGGATCGAGGTTTGAGTGCGCCTGAGTGCTTTTTCCCCCTCCTGATGGAAGAGCGCCGACCCCTGAGATCCTGGCGATGCATTGTCTCGCGCCCGGCGTTCCCGCCTGGCCTCGGGCCACGGGGCCCTTACAGGTCGGCGCGGCTCGAAGAGCACCGCAGACAGACGGGGCCCAGAGCTCCACGCGCGGTTGGTGCGCGATGCTGCCTTCTGCTCGTGACGTCGGATCTCAGGGCACACCTGCACCCAGGATCCTGGGCCCAGGATTGGTGTACAGTCGGGGCGCTGAAGAAGGAACCCTTTTCGTTGGGCAGGGGCTCGGTGTTCCTTGTTCGTTTCAAAGTTTACCTCGGGTTTTCCTGAGGTTTTCCATGGGAAATCATCCTGGCCAGGGCCTTCCTGGGCCCAGGATTGGTGTATGCGCCCTCCTTGGCTTGGGCAGCACGGCGATCGGAACACCGAGCCTGGGTCCCCGGGTCGGCCTGGCCAGGGCCGGTGCAGGTGTACATAGCTGAAGTGCCCCGTGGCCCAAAGGGGGCCCCAGGAGGCTCGGGGTGGCTCAGACGGCCTCCGGGGCACCCCTCGCGAGGCCCCGAGGGCCCCAGGGGCTCCGAACGGAACGACGAGCCTGGGGGGCATCTCGGGCCAGGGGCACTCCTGGCAACGCCCGACGAGACGCCCTCCGGCGCGCGCCGCGCCCTTCCGGGGCTCCTCGGCGGCCGTGGAGCGCCAGGACGCCAGGCAGGCCCCGAGGAGCGCTGACGCCAGCGCCCTCGCGAGGCGCTCGGCCGAGGCCGCCGCCGCGAGGCACCAGCACCGCCGCAGCTCCGCGGCCCGGCCCGCCGCTCGCTGCTCCTGGGGGGCCAGGGCCGCAACGAAGCCCAAGAACGGGACGGAATCGGATCGCTCCTCCTCCTCCTCCCTCCTCCTCCTCCTCCTCCTCCTCCTCCTCCTCCTCCTCCTCCTCCTCCTCCCCTCCTCCTCCTCCTCCCTCCTCCCTCCTCTCCCTCCTCCCTCCTCCCTCCTCCCTCCTCCTCCTCCCTCCTCCCGCCTCCCTCCCTCCCTCCTCCCTCCTCCCTCCTCCCTCCTCCCTCCTCCCTCCTCCTCCTCCTCCTCCTCCCTCCTCCTCCTCCTCCTCCTCCTCCTCCTCCTCCTCCTCCTCCTCCTCCTCCTCCTCCTCCTCCTCCTCCTCCTCCTCCTCCTCCTCCTCCTCCTCCTCCTCCTCCTCCTCCTCCTCCTCCTCCTCCTCCTCCTCCTCCTCCTCCTCCTCCTCCTCCTCCTCCTCCTCCTCCTCCTCCCTCCTCCTCCTCCTCCCTCCCCTTCCTCCTCCTCCTCCTCCTCCTCCTCCTCCTCTCCTCCTCCTCCTCCTCCTCCTCCTCCTCCTCCTCCTCCTCCTCCTCCTCCTCCTCCTCCTCCTCCTCCTCCTCCTCCTCCTCCTCCCCTCCTCCTCCTCCTCCTCCTCCTCCTCCTATCCTCCTCCTCCCTCCTCCCTCCTCCTCTCCTCCTCCTCCCTCCTCCCTCCTCCTCCCTCCTCCCCCCTCCTCCCTCCTCCCTCCTCCTCCTCCTCCTCCCTCCTCCCTCCTCCCTCCCTCCTCCCTCCTCCTCTCCCTCCTCCCTCCTCCCTCCTCCCTCTCCTCCTCCTCCCTCCTCCTCCTCCCCCTCCTCTCCTCCTCCCTCCTCCCCCCCCTCCCCCCCTCCTCCCCCCTCCTCCTCCTCCTCCTCCTCCTCCTCCCCCTCCTCCTCGCCCCCTCCCCCTCCTCATCTTCCACGGCCTCCGTCTCCGCCCTCTTCGTCGCCGACGTCGTGGCTCTCTTCAGGGTCGGCGGCGCCGGCGGTCAGGCCTTCGCAATCGGATCAGGAGAAACCGCGGGTCTCTCGGATCCCGCGGCTCTGAGGGAGCTGGCGGGCGCCGCGGCCTTCTCAGAGCGTTCCAGGGGCGCTCTCTCCCGAACCCCGAACGCTCCAGAGCGACTTATTCCGATCCGGACCCGATTTGCCCGAAATCTGTAGAGCCTTCGTTGCGGAAGCGTTTGGGCCGCCGCGTCGCGTCCGTCGTCGCGTCGCGTGCGTTTGGCGCGCAGCTCGACAGCACACCAGCCAGGCGGGACATCCCCAGAAGGGTCTCTGGGCCCCAGGCCCCTCCAGGGGCAGTCTCGGTGCAGGGCCGCAACTCTTCGGCCACTGCCGACACTCATCAGGAGGCAACTATTGGGAGGTCTTCGTCGGAAGGGTTAGGGAGAATTTCGCCCCCTGGGAGGCTGCTACGCCAGATTAGGCCGCGGATTAAGCGGAATTAAGCCGGACTAAGCGGAATTTGCCCAGGATTAAACGGGATCAAGCCGGATGAAGCCGGATTTCGGACCAGGGCAAAATCAGAATTTGACCTCCCAGGATTTGCATCCCAACACTCATTAGCACAAGGGCGTCTCCAACCTGCACTAGATGCCAGTTCTAGGGAGGAGAGAGATAGAGAGAGAGAGAGAGAGAGAGAGAATCCTCGAGCTGCCCCTGGCTGACCGCCAGGACTGGGAAACGGTCTTACCTGTGCGCGCGGGCGGCACCTTTCATCGGCGGCGCGCCAGGGTGGGAAGGCTGAGGGGCAGGCCTTCTCAGACGCGGGGCTTCTGAGAAGACCCTTCAGTCTTCTGAGAAGCCGCCTCTGTCTTCGGAGAAAGCTCAGAACACTTCTGAGATGGCCCCAGGCTTTCCGAGCCTTCTGAAGGGTCCCGTCCCCTCGGCATTCCCCCCCTGGGCTTGCCTCGGGCGACGAGTGCCTCCTGGCCATCTCAGCTTGCAGCTCGGCCGGATAAGGTTATGTTTGCACCGCGATTGAATCCTAACATCCTCCACTCCGCGCCCTCCCTCTTTCTCCTCATTGGCCAGCAGACTTCGCTTCGGTCTACATAACTTTTCCAACATTACCCCCCGCCCACGCGCCACAGGGCGTACGGTCCAGTCGCATATCAAGGATGCGCAATAAGGACGCGAGGGCCTTGGAGGGCCATGCTGGCGTTCTCCAACGGGGCTGGCCAACGAAAGTCGCCAAGGATGGGCCGAAGGGGCAGGGATGCAAGGGTAGCCTTGGGCAGCTGCTCATTCTTGCTGTGCGACCTGCCTGGATGGCTTCTCGGCCCGACCGCTGTGCCTTCCGAGGGCCGTCCTGGGCCAGGCGCGAGCCGCACACATGCCTGTGTTTTTTCTTCTTGGTTGGATCTGGCGGGCCCCGCTGGAGCTGCCAGTGCGCCCTCGGATCGAAGAGGGGGCCGAGGGGGCTCCGAGCTCGAACAACCACAGCACCGTCGCGGCGCGCTGCTGCGGGCCCCAGCAGCAGAGGCACGAAGGATGGCTAAGGCGCCGATCGAGGGGCCCCAGAATTGGGGCACCTGGTGTGTGTGTGTGTGCGCGTGTGTGTGCGCGTGTGTGTCCGTGTGTGCGTTCCTGAGATGCGTGTGTGTGTGTGTGTGTGTGTGTGTGTGTGTGTGTGTGTGTGTGTGTGTGTGTGTGTGTGTGTGTGTGTGTGTGTGTGTGTGTGTGTGTGCGTGTGTGTGCGTGCGTGGTGCGTGCGTGCGTGCGTGCGTGCGTGCGTGCGTGCGTGCGTGCGTGCGTGCGTGCGTGCGTGCGTGCGTGCGTGAGTGCGTGCGTGCGTGCGTGCGTGTGTGTGTGTGTATGTGTGTGTGTGCGTGCGAGATGGGGACCCGCGCTTGGGTCACGTGGGAGGAAGGCCCGCTCCTGAGCTGCCCCGATACGCCGCACGCAACACGGGGAGGATTTATACGGAGCTCGGCACGTAGACTCAAAATGTAGGTCTGACGCGATACGTTCGCTAAAACGTGGGCCAATACGCTGAGCCAACACGCAACGCATTGACACGGACGTTTTGAGCGCCGCTACGCGCTGCGTATCATTGCGTGCGTACAGAGGCATCGTGGTGTGCGTGGTGTGCGTGTGCGCGTGCAGAAAGCAGGGGCACGGTGCCCCACGTGGGGTGCTGTCCCAAGCCGACCGCGGCCGATGCCGGGCAGGCGACTTCCTGGCCCGGACGGGCAGCGCCTGCGGCGACACCGGCACCGAGTCCCCTTCAAGCTGGGCGGGACGCCGCTGTCGGTCTGCGCTCCCGCTCCTGGTTGCATGATCATCGACCTGGGATGGAAAAAACACAAGTGGCCATGTTGGAAAATCCTTAACAATTCTTCGTCGGCAAATTATTAATTTTGGGCGGCGCGCCCATCGCCGAGCGGGGGCGGGGCGGAACAGATAGGGGAACGGAAGAACGAAGGGCGCCGCCTCGACAGGGAGCGTGGAAGCGGCCAGGCCAGCTCCGAGCTCCGATGGCGCTGCTGCAGCGCCACTGTCGAGACCCGAGCAGGGACCCGACCCACCGCAGTGGGCACTCGGCCGGCACTCGGGCCCTCCACTGGGCCTCCCCCGGGAGGCGGCCGGGCCGGCCCGCCGCACCGGGACCGGGCCGTCTCCCTGATCAACGCTTCGATCGCACCGATCCCCGCGAGATCGAGGGGCATCCGGTTCTCCCCCCAGGTCCAGGCGGCTCAGCTGCTGCTCTGCCTCGAGGGGCAGCGTTAGGGGGGGGGGGGGGCAGCCCAGGGGGGGAAGCATCGAGCTGGAATCGGCGATGCGTCGCAGATAGATCGGCGACGGGCCCCCGATAGCGAGTCCGCATGGTGGCGCGCGGGAAAGGGCTGTCGTGCCCCTTGTCGGCGAGGAATGGGCGATTGGGGGCCGCTTGTCCCCCCCTGGAGCCACAGGAGGCACGCGGGCACCTACGAGAAGACACCCTCCTTGCCATAAGAAAGCCAGGGGCAAGTTCGACGTCGGCCCTGGAGCCTCTCGGAGTGCTCACGCGCCCCGGTGGGTCCCGAGGGCCATCGGGGGACAGGAGATTCCTGCGGGGCACCTGCCGGGTTTCTCATTCAGAAGAAGAAGATGAAGGGGCCCCAGGACACACAAATAAATACACACAAATAAGAATATTCCCCATATCTTCTCATGTTTTCTGGGTTTTTGTCTTCCCCCCACTTTCCATATTTCCCAATATCTCTGGAGAATGGACGATTCATTGTGTCTGTGTGTTTTTTCCCCTCCTGAGAAGAAGCAACAGAGGAAGAAAACCATAAGCAGAAACTCTCGGAGGTCTGCGCAGATCTGTTGGCTCGGCGCCGGAGGCGCCGCCCGCAGGGGCCCAGCCCCGACCCAAGAGAGCCGCACGGAACTCTGATGCCGCGGTTTCCTCTTCGACGAGTGGCCGTGCCTCCCCACGGGCTCCCAACTTCGCGCTTCGCGCTGCGCGCTGCGAGAAGTGCGACTAACTTCGCGCCCTCGCGCCGCCCCCCAGGGGAGGGAGGAGGAGGAGGAGGAGGAGGAGGAGGAGGAGGAGGAGGAGGAGGAGGAATCGGGGCCGAGCTGCGAAGCGCGAAGAACTTCGCGCCCTCGAGGGCGCCCTTGCTCCTGTGCCCCCCAAATGGCGTTGACCCCGAGGCCTGCGCCCGGACGCACGCACGCCACCACGCCAGCAACGACCACCGCGCGAGCTCCCGCGCCGCCCCCGCGGCCGCCTCCACCACGCCGTGCCGCCGCGCCTCCCGCCGCGCAGCAGAGGAGGGGGGACGACGACGACGACGACGACGACGACGACGACGACGACGACGACGACGCCGCCGACGACGACGACGCCGACGACGCCGACGCCGACGACGACGACGCCGACGCCCACCCGACGACGACGCCGACGACGATGACGACGCCGACGGCGACGGCGACGGCGACGCCGACGACGGCGACGGCGACGCCGGCGACGGCGACGGCGACGCCGACGACGGCGACGGCGACGCCGACGACGACGGCGACGGCGACGGCGACGGCGACGACGACGATGACGACCACGACGACGACGACGGCGACGACGGCGGCGACGACGGCGGCGGTGGCGGCGGCGGCGCCGACGACGCGGGGACACGGCTGAGGTATCTCAGCGGCCCTCCCCCACCGGCTCGTTCACTCCGCCCCCCCCTTGGCCTCCCTCACCAGACGTGCGCACGGTCGGGAGACATCAGGACGGGGGCCACTCGTCGCCGGCCTCTGGGGGCCCTCGGCGGGCCCCGGGGCCGTCCACCAACGACTCGGGACGACCAGCCGGCCCCCGGGGAAAGGGCCGGGACTTCCGGGGACCACGTATGGAAGAAAAACGGGCACCGCATGTCTGGGCCCTCCTCCTCCTCCTCCTCCTCCTCCTCCTCCTCCGCCTCCTCCTGTCTGGGCCCCCCTCCTCCTCCTCCTCCTCCTCCTCCTCCTCCTCCTCCTCCTCCTCCTCCTCCTCCTCCTCCTCCTCCTCCTTCTCTTTCTCCTCCTCCATCATCTCCTCCTCCTCCTCCTCCTCCTCCTCCTCCTCCTCCTCCATCCCGTCTACCCTCAAGTAGCTGCTCCCCGCTGCGCTGCCAGGCATGTCGGCATCGGGCGGGCCAGGCGCTTCGCCGGAGACTGCCTCAGCTCCGAGAGTGGAGGGCGGGTGGTTTTCAGGGTGCGGCTCTCTCCCGAGCGCCGCGCACCTTCGTCGTCAAGGCGTGCACCAGTTGCAGGGTTGTGTGGTTCCCATCGTGCTTAAGGACCAAATGCCAGATATAATGTCGAGCACCCAGAAAAGCATCGAAAAAATGTCGAACGAGTATCGCCTCCCAGGGCCCGACACGCGAAAACCCTCAAGCTTCGGTACTTCCCTGGTGCTCGACATTCTTTCGTGTGGTCAAGGCTACAGCAGGCTGAAACATCACAATTGCAAGGATGGAGCACGGGCCGTTTTCAAGAGGCGGCCCAGGGCCGCGCAGCTTCGCCCGAGAAGTCTCCAGGCAGATTCAAGGACGGATGGAGGGCGGCTCCTGGTCACAGTGTGGCTCTCGCTCGAGCACGGGGCACATTCGCTCTCGGACCGTTCAACGAGTTCGGGGATGGAGGGGGCGTTTGCACAGTGGGGCTGTCGCCTCATCGCCGAGGAAGATCGGCTCAACATGCAGCACAACCGATGGATGGCGGCTCCTTTTCGAAACAAGGCTCGCTGCATAGCGCCGCGCCTGGCAAGTGCGCTCCGAAAGTGTTGCAGCAGCTTTCGGGCTGGAGGGGGTCATGTTCAAAATGGGGCTCTCGCACACTCGTCTTCAAAGAAGCAAAAGGGTCAAGGAGGGACGGGGGGTAGAAGCCCTCGCCTGCGACTTTCTGCACTTCACAGGGCCAGGGCTTCAGCACGTGTAGCGCATGCACGGCTAGAGGTCAGTCCATGACTACGAGGTACATGTGCAGCCTTGCGAAACGGTTGCACGGATGTGGGGGGAGGGAGTGATCCTTCTTCGAATGGGGAATCTCGCTGGACACCTCGTTGAACTGTGTGCTCATGGTTTTCGGCATCTGAGTACGCGCCAGAAGGATGCGAGGCATTCCTTCCTTTTCAACACGGGGCCTCGCCGAAATGGCCAGGTCATGTATGGTGCGTGTCTTTCTGGGGGGACGCTTCTTGCAGAGGAAAGCTGGCAGGGACAGCTAAACAGGGGACCTGGGACGGGAGGGTGTATGGCAACATCGCTGATGCCTCTTGGGCTGACTCTGGTCTTCCTCCTCCGCCTCCTTCTCCCTCCTCCTCCTCCTCCTCCTCCTCCTCCTCCTCCTCCTCCGCCTCCTCCTCCTCCTCCTCCTCCTCCTCCTCCTCCTCCTCCATCTCCTCCTCCTCCTCCTCCTCCTCCTCCTCCTCCTCCTCCTCCTCCTCCTCCTCCACCTCCTCCTCCTCCTCCTCCTCCCTCCCTCATCCCTCCCCAGAGGAACAACACAAAACATGAACCTCAACTTTTGGAGCTCCGCGCGGCTGGCCTGGGTCGGCGCTGGCGCCCCCCTCCCTGGCGCGCGGCGCGCGCCAGGCCGCCAAAAGGGGCCCACAGCGCAGAGTCGGGAAAAATCCACGCGGAGCTCCAAAAGCTTCTGCTCCCGCCGCTCGTCCTCCTTCGACTCCCTCCCTCCCCTCCCCTCCTTTACGGGCGAAGAACGGTATAAAATGAACTTTTTCGCTGTCGGGGACACCTGCCCCTGGGCGGCTGGAAAGTTTATACCCTTACTGTGGCACCGTAGGGGTATAAACTTTCCAGCCGCCCAGGGGCAGGTGTCCCCGACAGCGAAAAAGTTGTTATTCTATGCCGTTCTTCGCTCGCTGACTCCCCCGCGCCCTGCCGCGCGCCTCCCGGAGCTCCCGGCGCATCCCCTGGAGCACGGCGTCCTCGGAGGGGCCGCGGCTCGAGGCTCGGAGAGGGCCGAGGGCCGCGAGGCACGGAGGCTTACGCGGCGCTCCCCGAGGCTCCCTCGCCGCCGCGGCCGGGGCGAGGAGCCGGCGGCGGCGAGCCGAGAGGGGGGAGGAGCCAGAAGAGGCAGGCCTTCGCAGCAGCCGTCCCCCTGCCTTCGGAGGAGGCCTGTGCGGTGGGGGCGCCGGACCAGGAACCCTTCGACGAGGAGCCGAGGGTCTGGAAGCCAGTGGAGCGCCGATCATGGCCTCGCCACGGGTCTCACACCGCCGCCCTCGCCAGACATCGGGAGCCCCCCCCCCAGGGGTCGGAGGCCTCGGAAGGGCGCACTCCTGAGCCGACGCCCCAAGCCGCAGCAGCTCCTCGGGGGAGCCCCGCCGCCTCCCGCGCAGGCCTGCGCCCCCTCCCGCTGCCCCTCTCCTCGGCTCGCTGCCACCGCGCTGGCCGTGCCTGCCACCCCTGGGCGTGGTCCACTGACTACCTACCAGGCCACCCCAACCCAACCCGAAGGTCCGAATTTCGGGTTGGGGGGGGTGGGCGGGTCCCCCCTCGGCTCGCTGCCACCACGCTGGCCATGCCTGCCACCCCTGGGCTGAAGTCGGGCCTGTCCCCCATGGGGGATGCTGGGCGAAAAATTCGAAATACCCTAAACATGCTCCCAAAATGCTAGAAACCAGTCAAAACAGAGTCCCCATACGATTTTTCGAATATTCTTGGATCTTCCTCCTGTAGAGGGACAGGCCCGACTCGACCCTGGGCGTGGTCCACGGGGGCCGAGGCGCAACGGACCGCCTAAACATGCTCCCAAAATGCTCGAAACCAGTCACAACAGAGTCCCCATACGATTTTGTCGACTATTCTTGGATATTTTCCTCCTGCAGAGGGACAGGCCCGACTCGACCCTGGGCGTGGTCTGCGGGGGCCGAGGCGGAGCGGACCGCGGAGAGGCCGCCCGAGGAGAGGCCGGGCGCGCGGACGCTCCGCGCCCCCTCGGCCACCGTCGACGCGCTGCCACGGGGTCCTCCTCCTCCTCCTCCTCCTCCTCCTCCTCCTCCTCCTCCTCCTCCTCCTCCCTCCTCCTCCTCCTCCTCCTCCTCCTCCTCCTCCTCCTCCTCCTCCTCCTCCTCCTCCTCCTCCTCCTCCTCCTCCTCCTCTCCTCCTCCTCCTCCTCCTCCTCTTCCTCCTCTCCCTCCTCCCTCCTCCTCCTCCTCCTCCTCCTCCTCCTCCTCCTCCCTCCTCCTCTCCTCCTCCTCCTCCTCCTCCTCCTCCTCCTCCCTCCTCCTCCTCCTCCCTCTCCTCCTCCTCCTCCTCCCTCCTCCCTCTCCCTCCTCCGTCCTCACCTCTCCTCTCCCTCCTCCCTCCTCCCTCCTCCCTCCTTCCTCCTCCCGGAGCGAGGGGGGGGGCCCCAAGACCGCGGCGAGCCCGGGCGCCAGGGGCGCGGGCCCTCTACGGGCCCGGCGCCGACGGAGCGGCCCAGGCACCAGAGCCCCTCCATGACCAGCCTGGAACAGATCCCTATGCCTAGGTTGGGCATCGCCTCGTCATGATGGCGACCTTAGGGATCTCCTCAGCTTCTGAGGGTGCATCCCTAAGATTGTCATCTCCTTTTTGGGAGGCCCGGACATTGGCACCAACACCAACACAGGGGGTTGCCTCCACCGGGGGAAGATGATCCTCGATTTCTGTTGGTGGTCATATTTCGGTCACTCTGGAAGCCAGAATGTTACCACCGTCACCGAGATCGGGATCCTCTTCCCTCGGTGGAGGAACACCGCCGATATTGGTGTTGGTGTCAACCTCTAGGCCTGCGACTTTGAGCGTGTCAACCTCAGGGATAGGGACAAGCTCGAGGCTGGTGACTCCAGGGCCCCCGGGCGCTCCCGAGCTCGGCGGCCCCTCGGCCGCAGGAGGGCGGCAGGGGCAGGGCGAGGGCGGCGCCGCTGGCGGGAGCCGAACAGGAGATCCAAGGGGAAATGTAGAGCCCCAGCGTCCAACAACAGTTCATTCATGAAGGGGCCCTGAGACACACGCAAAGAAATACACACAAGCAGAAGGGTTCCCCACAGTTTCCTACGTTTTCGAAATTTGTGCCTCCCCCCCCAGTTCCCCTAGTTTTCCATACTCTCCTGGGAATCGACGATTAATTACTTGTGACTGTGTGTGTGTTTTTTTCCCCTCCCGAATCAAACATTTTCGGAGCGGAATTTGCATTCGGAAACCGCGGCGGAAGCCGCGCGGGGAGGGCGTGGGGAAGGCCAGGGCGGAGGCGGAGGCTGGAGGCCTGCCAGACGGGTGCCGCGTGCGCACCCGACGCCACTCGGAGCTTTTGTCCTCTGACAGCATTCCAGGCCCAGATGGCACGGGAGGTCCACGGACACACAAAAGGGGCGCTCCGAGGACACGCCCAGGGCCTCGTCCAGGTTCAAACTTTTTTCACCGAAGCCTGGAGTCGATTTTTTTTTTTCCTCACGTCGACCACGGCGGCTGGATGCCTCGAGTTGGAATGAAGCCTGGAGTCGATGAACGCGTATCTGTTCTTGGGGAATGTCTGATGGGTGCAGATGGGGTCGGAGGACCTCGCCGCATCGCCGATGCATCGGTGATGCATCGGTGATGCATCGGCGACGTCGGCGTGGAGGAAATCGGTCTCCTTATCGAGCCGCATCGTCGATGCGTTGGCGATGCTTGCGATCCATGGGCCCGCCTGCACTGACCCCAGCTGGGAGGCCTGGAGAGGCGCGTGGGGCGTGGGATCGGGGCCACACATCCCGATCCGCCGTCTCGCGTCTGCGTCTGGGACCCTCTCTCGTGATATTGCAAAGATCTCATGCGCCGATCTGATAGGCTTCCCATTCGGCCCCTCACGAGGCGTCCATTCTGAGCGGTCTTGGGCGCAGCGCAATGGCAAAACAGAAAAAAGGCGTCCCCCCCGAGTAGATGTCAACTCTTCGGGGCCCCAGGATTCTGGAGAGGGCCACACGGGGCTGCAACGGACGAGATCGGAAGGCGGCACCGTATCGACGACGCCCCTCGGGGCCACGCACCGGCGACGCCGGAATGGAGCAGATCGGGCTCCGGGATCGCGCCACATCGCCGGCGCGACGCGCTCCTCCGACCCCCGCCAGCTCCAGCCCCGTTTTGGCGGCCTGGAGTCCTGGTGCGCCAAGGCCTCCTCCTCTCGCTGCTGCGCCTCGACGTGCAGCTCGCGCCGGGCGGCGTCGAGCGAAGCGCTCCTCTCGGTCACATCCTCCGCGCCGAGGTGCTGCGCCAGCTCCAGCTGCGCCAGCTGCTGCAGCTGCACGTCCAGCTCCAGCTCCATCTGCGTCGTGGACCGGAGCTCCAGCTGCAGGTTTGCCGCGCGGAGCTCGTGCCGCAGGAGCTGGAGCGCCTCCTGCGAAAGGGCTTCTTGGCTCTCGGCCTGGCTTGCCTCAACGAGCAGGCGCTGCTGCAGACGCTCAAGCTGGCAGGCTGAGGCTTCCTCTGGAAGAGACACAACTGCATAGACATAGACTTCCTGCGCTCCGCGCGGGTCTCTTGGATCGGCACTGGCCCCCCCTCTCCCTGGCGCGCTCCGCGCGCCAGGGGCGCCGCCAGGGGCGCCGCCAGGGGCGCCGCCAGGGGCGCCGCCAGAGGTGGCCCAGCGCCGATCCCAGAGATCCGCGCGCACCCTCGAAAGTTCGGTGCTCTTCCATCCTCGCCCTGCTGCAGCTCCGCCTGGGACTGCCTCAGCTCGTGCCGCGCGCTGTGCAGGGAGGCGTCGCGCTCGGCCAGCGCCTCCGCGCCCGCCCGCTGAGCGTGCTCCACGGCTCGGAAGTCTCGGCGCAGCGCGCCGATGGAGGCCGCGCTCTGGGCGGCCTCCTCCGCGCTGCGGCGCCGCGCCTCCCAGAGCTCCTGCCGCATCTCCTGGAACACGGCCACCTGGGCCGCCGAGGCCTCCACCCCCTGCTGCGCCTCCTGCCGCCTCTCGCCGCTCCGCCCGCGCCCCGCGGCGCCGAGCGGGGCGCCCCGCTCGGCCGGGGCCTCTCCGCCGACGGGCCGCGCCTGCTGCAGCTGCGCCTCCAGCTCCAGCTGCGCCGTCCGCGCCTGCTGCAGCTCCTGAGGAGGCGCACCAGCGCTGCAGAAGGCACCATGGAGCTCGCGGAGCTCCGCGCGGAGCTCGGGGAGCTCGGCGCGGGCCTCCCCTGCCCGGCGCGCGGAGCGCGCCAGGGGCGCGGCGCCAGAGGCGCCGCCGCGAGGCCCCGGAGCGCCGACCCAAGACATCCGCGGAGCTCCGAGCGTTCAGGCGATGCTCTCACGGGGGGGCGAGAAGGTGCCGACGCCACCACTCCACGGACCTCTCCTGGGGCCGTGTCGGCGAGGGCCCTCCAGGGCGAGCACGGTATCGGTATCTCCTCTCCTCCCCCGTGCTCGCGCCAGCTCTTTTTGTTTTTTTGTTTTGTCTTCTTCTTCTTATTATTATTCTTCTTCTTCGTCTTCTGCGAGGTCCAGATCCAGCTCCATCCGCGCTGCCGACCCGAGCTCCAGTTGCGCCAGCTGCTGTGCCTGCACGTCCAGCTCCAGCTCCATCTGCGTCGTGGACCGGAGCTCCAGCTGCAGGTTCGCCGCGCGGAGCTCGTGCCGCAGGAGCTGGAGCGCCTCCTGCGAAAGGGCCTCCTGGCTCTCGGCCTGGCTCCTCTCGACGAGCAGGTGCTGCTGCAGGCGCTCAAGCTGGCAGGCCGAGGCTTCCTCTGGAAGAGACACAACTGCATAGACAGACTGGGAGCAAACGGCAAGACGATTACAAAAATACTTTCGCCGGCTTGGTTGCCCCCACGATAGGGGAGGGCGGGAGCAGGCCGACGGAGGGCGGACAATCCCTGGCTGTCTGGGAGGCTTCGGGAAACTCACGGGCAAACAAAAATTCGAAGCCGCAGGGGTGGCCATTCGGAACGGCAGGGACCACGGGAGCCTGGCCGACGGAGTGCGAACAATGCCACGGGCTGACAATTCGAAGCCGCGGGGGTGGACAATTCCAGGCGGCGCGGCCGCACGGGCTGATAGTTCAAGGCCGCCAACAGTTTGCGAACCATACCCTTGAATCATAAGATGTTTTGACCTCCTCCTCCTCCTCCTCCTCTTCCTCCTCTTCCTCCACCTCCTCCTTCTCCTCCTCGTCCTCCACCTCCTCCTCATCCCCCTCACCTTCCTTTTCCTCCTCGTCCTCCTCCTCCTTCTCCTCCTCATCCTCCTCCACCTTCTGCTGCTTTTGCTGCTGCTGTTCCTCCTGCTCCTCCTGCTCCTGCTCCTCCTCCTCCTCCTCCTCCTCCTCCTCCTCCTCCTCCGCCTCCTGCCCCTCCCCCCTCCTCCCCTCCCCCCGCGCTAGCCTCATTCACCTCCACTTCCTCCTCCTCTTCCTCCTCTCCCCTTCCCTCCTCCATCCTCCAGCAGCGAAGGTACGGCGCCAACGCTATGCGTCTCCAGCGCCGTGGGTGGACAAGCGAGCGCAGGTGGTAGTACAACTACGAGAGAACGCGTTTCACGGGCGCATGCCTTGGGAACATTCGGCGGCGCGTTTCAAACCGGGGGGTGGGCCCCCCCCAACACTTGGCGCCGTCGATCAAAACCAGGGGGACCCCCTCCCCCCCAAACCCCCCTCCGGACCCCCCCCCCCCCGGCCTCGGAGAAGGAGCCGGCGTTGGCGGCCGCCAGCAGCGCCCACGGCGGGGACGCAGCGGCGACGACGACCAGAGGCAGCCCAGGGGCGGGGGGGGGTTCATTAAACCCCCCCTCCCGCCCCCCATCGGCGCCGGCGCTGGCGGCGGCCAGCAGCGCCGGCGCTGGCGCCGGCGACGGCGGGTACGCGACCGGTATGACCACCATTACCAACACCACCACCACTACCACCACCACCGCCTCAACCCACCACCACCAACAACAACAACAGCAGCACCACACAACCACCACACCACCACCACAGCCACCACCACCACAACCACCACCGCAACTCACCATCACCACCACCACCACCACAAAAACCCACCACCACTACCACCACCACCACAATCTACCACACCACCACCACCACTGCCACAACCACCACCACTACCAGCAGCACAACCCGCCGCCACCACCACAAACCACCACACCACCACCACCACACCACCAACGCCACCACCACCACCACCACAGCAAACGTCCACAAACCACCGCCACCACCACAACCCACCACCACCACCACCACAAACTACCACCACACCACCACAAACACCACCACCACCACCACAACGCACCATCACCACCACCACAAAAACCCACCACCACTACCACTACCACCACCACCACCACAATCTACCACACCACCACCACCACCGCCACAACCACCACCACTACCAGCATCACAACCGACCACCACCACAAACCACCACATCACCACCACCACCACTACCAACACCAACACCACGACCACCTCCACAAACCACCGCCACAACCCACCACCACCACCACCACAAACCACCACCACAATACCACCAAACCACCACCACCGCCACAACCCACCACCACCACCACCACCACCACCGCAAACCACCACCACACCACCACCAAACCACCACCACCACAACCCACCGCCACAACCACCACCACCACAACCCACCACCACTACCACCCGCCTCGTCGACGCTCCCCGCCACCGCCGCCCGCCGCCGCAGGCGCCGGCGCCGGCCAAGGAATTGAAATCGTCGTCCCCGCCGCCGTCGCCAGCCGCCGCCGATCCAAGCGTAGCGCCGGCCCGAGGAGGGGGGAAGCAGAGGGGGGGGGAGGGAGGGGGGTTCGAACTTCGAACCCCCCCCCTTCCATCCAGGAAGGGGGGGGGGTCCAGTTCCAAACCCACCACCCCTCCAAGCGACCACAGAACGCGCTCTTTCACAACTACCAAAGCCATGCGTCAACCCTATAGGCACGGCGCTTGGGTTTCCGGCAGAACCCGCGCGGCCATTCGATTCTGAAACGGAGACATAACGACATAGCGCCCTGTTGTAAAGCAGAAAAGCAGGGCGCATCACGACTGCAAAGCACGAGTCGATCCCCCGCGAACAAGGAAAAGAGAGAGGGAGAGGAGGACAAAAACGTGGGGGACAAATTAACATGTTCTGCGATCACAAAACTTACTGCAGTAACTTCAAGACACGCTGCGCCCATTGCAACTTTGGGCGGCCGCGCCTCGGGACCAAATACCACTGTTTTGACACATTTGCCCCGGGTGCTCGCAATAGAGATCTTAAATAACTATTGTCCGGCAGCGCGCATATTTTTGTATACTCCGCCGCATGCCGCTTGCGCAGCATCTCACTCAGACGGCCTGCCCGCGCTATCGACAAGACTGCAGCGTCCGACGCCCTGGAGTAATACGAACGCTGGACTCCACATACCCATCCGGAGGCAAGACGCTTGGAAACTGTCCAGTATGTTCTGGTCTGATTGTAGTAACCATAGCGATTACACTGTGTACTGAAATTTGGAAACGATAATAGCGACAAACAAACGGATTGTTCTCGATCTTGAGATACCCGTGTGTTTCCAGCATCTGGCCAATGTTCTGAACAAGCCTCGTGCTTCGCCCAAACGCCCAATGCCCTCTGGTTTGCTTTCCGCTTCGCCGTGCAAGAGGCCACCCAACTACACTGCTTGGTGCACTTGTTTGACTGGATGCATGGTAGAATCTCGTACAACACCGTCACTGTTGACATTAAACACCACGGCTTTGCCCCAGTCCAGGTCACGGCCGCACTGCTTGCCAACCCGGATTGCGATGTCCAAGGGTAGCTCCACCTTCAAGGCGCTGGCGCTCCCGAGCATGGCGTCGTCCGCATGCAACACATCATTGCTAATGATTTTCGGTGGCTCCTCGAAGGTCATGGCCATCTCGTTGTAGTCTGTCGGCATCGAACAACATCACCGTCTTCAACAAAACAAGCAAATGCGGTGAGAGCGGGCATCCTCGGCCGATTCCTGCAAGTTGTTGTCTGGCGCTGGAATCGCCTGTCTGATCTCTCAAACATAAACTGCGAATTCGGTGAATGGAACAAATGAAAGAGAACCAACTCTGGTACACCAGGCCGCGCTATCGCATCGTGTTCGATCCGGTCGAAAGCCTTAGCCTAGCCAAGTAAGACAGCCACCAGCCCAGGTTCTTGCGAACATTCCGCAGCATCGAACATGCGGCGGGCAGCACTACTTGCATCGATTGTGCTGTGTCCTTGTCTCAAGCCAACCTATGTTGGTCGTATTCGTTGCAGTCTTCTCTGAATCATTGAAGCTACAACTTTGTATCCCACAGGTAGCAATGATATTAGAATGCTCTGGTAAGCTTGCACCCCCTTCATTAAACAATAACACAACGGTCGCACTGCGCCATGTTTCTGGAATGTTCTTGTGGCCCCAGCACTTTTGGCAAGTGCCCAGCAGCCTGCGGGCAGTGTGCGATAAACGCCATACCTTCCAGAATTCTGGTGCTACCTCATCGTGTCCTGCTGCCTTCCCCGCCGCGAGGTGTCGCATGGCCTTTTGCATGCTCTCCCATGATGAAGGTGCGAGTGACAATAGGACGAGGCACTCCCTGAGGACGGCCTTCGGGTAAATGCAGCTCTGTGCGTTTAACGTCCCATCGTATATTCTCAAAGTAATCTCCCAAAATGTATATATTCGTTGATTGCTCCCCATGCGTTCTTGGTCGCGGTCGGCGTCGTACCCGGCGTCTTCCTTAATGCCATCGCTGCTGCGCTTCCAACCATTTATTATTGTCTCTGCGTGCCGCTTTCTTGATATATCCGTTCAGCTGTTGTTCGCGAGCTGCGTTTCCAGCTTGTGTGACGCAGCCCCTTTGCTTGAACAGCTCCTTCGCGTTAGTTGAAATCCATTGTTTTGGATGGCTTCGTCCATGTACAACTGCGACTCCTGCGGCTGTGCGCATTACTTGTGCTAGCGCAGCTTCGTGCTTATCCGAAATCATCACCGCAACATCATATTGACACGAGGCCGTAGATACTTCGCAATACTCGCGGCCAGTGTTCGGTGAACTTAGCAAGGTCTCCGAAGAGCATCGTTGATGTGTTGGTTCAGCCTCTTGCCTCCCAAGTGCAATATCCAATGATACATTCATCAAAGAATGACGCGTCGGTAATGCTGCACTTCTGTCTGTCCAAACATGTGCGATCAGTGGGACAGGGTCGGAATCAACCAAAAATTGTGCGCAAAGGCTGGGTTCGAGATATCGCTGGATGGTCCTACCCCTGGAGCCGGGCCGTGATTAGTGACCGAACTATCTGGCGGTTGGGGAAGACACGTGCTGGCGATGACAGACATTGTTTCCCGGCATGTCTCATCAATCAAAAGTTCCCTAGCGGGTCTCCGATTAGTTTGAAACTTATCATCGAATATGCTGCGCCTGGGGCGATCATGAACCCCACGCCAAAGTAGAGATACCCCGGGGATGCTTCAGCCGTCCCAGAGAACCACCAAGTAACCATCTCGGACGACATGTTGCGATTCTGCTACATGTGTTTCCTGTATACATTGAAGTAGACAGCCCTTGCTCATTCATGTGGTGTTGGATCTTTGTCAGTTTTTGACGATATACTCCCAGCCCTTGTATGTTCCAAGTGCCAATGCATTGGCTACGCACTGGCTGCATGCGTATTTTCCATCTTGCGACTCCTGCAACTGGTGTGCACAAATGTCGGTGTTATGGTATCGATCAATTAGAACAGATTGACCGACAACGTGGCGATAAGGAAGCCGGGTAGATGGCTTTGCCTTGGCCCGAAGAAGGAGCGGCCGAGTTAATGCTAGAATCGGCACCACGGTAATCTGCACCTCTATATCGTTGTCCTCGGGTGCGACCAGAGGGCGAAAGATCAGGTTGTAGAGCAAGTGGTAGCTGAACAGTCCCCGACGAAGAAGGTAAGCAACATTTCCGCTGCTGGATGTGCAGTGGTAGCTTTGCCCAATCTCGTCCACGCAGCGGCGCCGCCGGAGACCTGAGATATGCTTTGGCCAGCTCCAAAATCTGGTCGTACTTCCTACTTCGAGCTCTTGCTGCCTTTGGATCGTCCCTCGACAATTCGGAATTGTCAATTCCCTTCATGCCGGCAGAGGCGCGGTCCAAGAGGGCGTTCGTCTTGTCGATCAAGTCCTTCCGTTTTAGGTTGTTTCGTAGCTCGTCCCAGTCTTTCCTGATGTCCAACCACTCCAGCTCCAAATGGTTATCGACCACTGCCGCCTCCACAGCAATCTTTCCGCCCACGTCTACGTAGTATGGTAAAACAAATGTTGAAACATTGGTTTGTATTCACTCTTCAGGTCGTCCATCAACATATACTTCAGTCCGAAGCAAAAGTTCCGTGTCGCGCGCAAGGTAGGTGGCCGATCTTGGGTACCCCAAACCTTCGATCCAGCGTGCGCAGCCCCAGAACTGCGCAACATCCCGACAGCTAGGTCGCAGTCGCTCTCGTCATTGAACTCCACGGAGAGAAAGAAGATCACATAATTCCCATTTGGAGTAAATCTCTCGCGCGACAGGCGCGTGAAGCTCATGCAATGTGTTTTTAACCATGTTGCGACCGCGGTGCAGCAAGAAAAAACTGATAAACTGCCGAGCGCTGCTGTGATAACCGCTTGTTATTGCCATCCACTGGTGACCGAGTCGATACAAGCGCGCGAACGCCGAGTTGTCGAACCTGAAATTCTAAATCCCGAGCCCTGGCTTCCAGCGCCGGCGTCGTTGAAGTATGGGAGGCTGGCCTGGCCGACAGCGGTTGTGAGGGATAAGAAAATTCCAGTGCGTCCAGTCTTGTCTTGAACTCGTCGATTGTGCTCTGTAGTGGCTCCACTGCGCTGCGGAAATTAGTCTGAGGGGCGCCATCTTCGCCGTATTCGATTGTGCTCTGTAGTGGCTCTGGCGATACGCTTGTATTCAAGCCGTCGCCGTCCGTCCGATCCAATTCGTGCAACGTTTACTGTGGGTCCAGTGACTCTTGGCTAACAGCTCCTTGACTGGGGTACCTGGAATGCGCTTGTCACCGCTGTCGCCCGAAGACATCATCGATATAGTGTCGAAGAACAAGTAAACTGGAAGGGGGTGTGCGGAGTCGGGGAGCGCAAGGGGGAAGAGAAACTCAATGGGAAAAACGCGACGGCAGAAAAATGGCCCCTGGGGGCAAACGATTAAAAGATCACTTCTGGCGGCTCGATTCTCTCACTCTGTCCAACTTACTTATTTTGAGGCCCGCTGTTGTTTCTTGTTTTGATCGTTTGCTCCCACTAAACTTCCTGCGCTCCGCGCGGGTCTCTTGGATCGGCACTGGCCCCCCCTCTCCCTGGCGCGCTCCGCGCGCCAGGGGCGGCGCCAGGGGCGCCGCCAGAGGTGGCTCAGCGCCGATCCCAGAGATCCGCGCGCACCCTCGAAAGTTCGGTGCTCTTCCATCCTCGCCCTGCTGCAGCTCCGCCTGGGACTGCCTCAGCTCGTGCCGCGCGCTGTGCAGGGAGGCGTCGCGCTCGGCCAGCGCCTCCGCGCCCGCCCGCTGAGCGTGCTCCACGGCTCGGAAGTCTCGGCGCAGCGCGCCGATGGAGGCCGCGCTCTGGGCGGCCTCCTCCGCGCTGCGGCGCCGCGCCTCCCAGAGCTCCTGCCGCATCTCCTGGAACACGGCCACCTGGGCCGCCGAGGCCTCCACCCCCTGCTGCGCCTCCTGCCGCCTCTCGCCGCTCCGCCCGCGCCCCGCGGCGCCGAGCGGGGCGCCCCGCTCGGCCGGGGCCTCTCCGCCGACGGGCCGCGCCTGCTGCAGCTGCGCCTCCAGCTCCAGCTGCGCCGTCCGCGCCTGCTGCAGCTCCTGAGGAGGCGCACAAGCGCTGCAGAAGGCACCATGGAGCTCGCGGAGCTCCGCGCGGAGCTCGGGGAGCTCGGCGCGGGCCTCCCCTGCCCGGCGCGCGGAGCGCGCCTGCAGGGGCGCGGCGCCAGAGGCGCCGCCGCGAGGCCCCGGAGCGCCGACCCAAGACATCCGCGGAGCTCCGAGCGTTCAGGTGATGCTCTCACGGGGGGACGAGAAGGTGCCGACGCCACCACTCCACGGACCTCTCCCGGGGTGCGCTCTGACCAGCGTCGCGACAGGGAGTCCAGCCGCGTCGCCGTGGGCTCTCCAGGGCGAGCAGCGGTATCGAGATCGCCTCTCCTCCCCCGAGCTTGCGCCAGCTCCTCTTCTCTCGGCGGCGAGCCGAGGGGGCGGGCCTTCTCGGAGGGCTCGGAAGCAGTCCCCCGGCCTTCGGGGGAGTCCCCTCCGCCTTCCCCGAAGGCACGGGATCCCTTCTCGGCCGGCGCGAGGGCCTCTGCGAAGCCGCCGCCGCCTGCTGAGGAGGCCCTCTCCCTCTCGCTCCCCCCCCCCCTCGCTCGCCGCG